CAGCACCGGTCCCGTGGGTGCACACTAGGGAGCTGATACAGAGGAAGTACGCGTCGAGAGGAGACAGGGACTGGGCAAGGAAGAGTAGTGATCTGAGGGCTAGCTGGGCGGGCGTCAACCTCGGACCGAGGCAGCGGAGGGTGATTAAGGCAGCGCACCTATCGCCGGTCGACAGGCGGAGACTCATGGAGGTTATCAGTGGCCACTCTGTCACCAGAAGACACTGGTGCAAGATAGATCGGAACTTGGGTCCTGAGTGCCGTTTCTGTGGGGCGGAGATGGAGGATGAGAGGCACATCATCTTCGAGTGCAGGCGCTTCGCGTTGGAGAGGATCAGGCTGAAGCGCAGGCTCGGCTGGAGAAGCTTGCCATATCACATAGGGAACTTCCTATCTTCACCCTCGAGGCTGCGGGTGCTGATGGGATTCTTGAGGAGGGTCTGGCCGGCCTTGGAGGGGCGAGATGTGGCCGCAACTCCAGCGGCAGCCACAGGAGACTCCGTGCATTGATGTAAAAAAAAAAAGAAAAAAAAAGAAAAAAAAAAAGAAAAAAAAAAGAAAAAAAAAAAAAGGAAAAAAAAATGTATAATTTCGTATTATTTGCCTCTACTATTCTTCTATTTCTTGTACCGTTTTATTTTCCCTCTACACCTAATTAATTACCATTGGCAGAGCCTCAGCCGGAAGGGGTTCACCACGGGGACGAACTATCTACAGGCCCCGCAGCCTGTGTGCCGCCAAGGCCGTATACTGCGCTCAGCGCGGTCGGCAAAAGGGCACCCAACAACAACAACAACAACAACAACTACAACAACTACAACAACTACAACAACTACAACAACAACTACAACTACAACATTGGCTCAAGATTTAGTTGGATTTCCACTAAATTTTCACCCCTCTCATCATGTCATCCGTTCCTTCCCTTCCTCGTCCGAGCCGCCTGCAGACAAGAGCTTCCTCCAGGGCTACGGCCAAAGCAGCGTCACCATCTATCAGCACTTCATCTCCAGCGGCAGAAGGAGCAGCTGTAGCATGGGCCGACTCCTCTGAGGAGTTAGACACCCACCGTGAGTCTCCACCACAGACCCCTCTTGACTGGGCCGAAGTCATCATTGGTGTTGTTAAGAATGTTCTAGCTATGGAGAATAAATATCTGAGTAATGCCAAAGCCGAGGCCATACTAGGTGCCGTTGACAATATCAAAAATGGCTATACTCGCATCTTGGAACAGAACATCTCCCTCAAGGATCAACTGTTGGAAAAATCTAACACCTCTCAAAGCCCCCCTCATATAGGAGTGCCCTGCTGTCCGGTACACCTACAGTCACTGCTCCACCACCTCCGAGTAAGACCATCATCGTGAGACCCTCGGCACTAGCTCAAGACCCTGTCTTGAAAAAGAACTCCATCGCAGACCTTCAGAAAACTCTTGGCAGTACCATCAGGGACAAGGCCATTACCGTGGATACCATAACTACTAGGCGTAATGACATCGCTATCAAAATTCCTGACACTGCCGACTCTGATGATATCATCAATACTATTAACGCTTCCATCTCCAACTCTGGGCAAGCCTCACTATCTCGCAAGCTGCAACCTGAGATTATGGTTTCCTTGGCTGGCACCTCTGATATCACTGCTGATAAGATCTTGCAAGAGGTTCCGAATTACATGCCGAGTGCTCGTATCACTGAATGGAAGATCATCAGGTCTAATGCCAAGGCCATTACCCTACGGCTACCAGCGGTGGATCGAGACCGCATCATTCGTGATGGCTTTATCGTCATTAATTCTCTAAGACTCCGCTGTAGAGATGTTATTGGTGTCAGAGCATGTTTTACATGCGGCTCATGCCACAACCAATCGTCGCCATGCCGGGACAAGAAAATGTGCCTCACCTGCGGTGGATCTCACGAGATGAGGGACTGTCCCAACAAGGACAAACCTCTCGACACCAAACGGTGCAGCCTTTGTAACGGCGTGGGTCATAACTTCCATGAAGGACCACCTTGCAAGGTCAAACTCAACCATATGAGGGAGAAGTACCTCCGTACGGAGCGTCTTCCCGGTGGACCGGCTTACAATGGCCCTTTCGCTGAGCTACTATGAACATCCGTGACACACCTTCCATCGCTTTACCATCTGCTGATCTTAACTTTTTGCAAATTAACTTAGGCCGCTCCTCTTCCTTACTTTACGACATTTGTAACAACATTAGTTTTGATATTTTGATTTGCCAAGAACCTCCTAAAAGGTTCTTTCTCGATAGCTATCGCACCTTTGCTGTAGACCCCGGTAACTCAAATACGTGTATTATTATCGCTAATAGTATTGCTGACCTTTTTGCGCTGAACCTCTCTGTCTCTAATTCGAATATCACTACTGTTACCTCCTCTGATTTAACGATAATCTCCTTCTATAATCCCCCTTCCCTACCTGACACTTCTCACTTGTGCACTCTATCTGAACTGCTTGTATCCGACGGAAACTTCCTCCTTGGCGGGGACACTAATGGGTACAGCCATCTTTGGGGTATCTACCCCACTAACTTACGCTCTCGCAATGCAACTGCCATCGCCTTCGGCCGAGAGGTCGAAAACTTCGCGATGGATCATGGCCTGGTATGTTTTAATGATACTGACAACGTCGCCCCCACTTATCAACATCCTGCTTCTGATGGCCAGACTAGATGCTCTACCATTGATGCTACCTTCGGTTCTCCGGACCTCCCTATAGCTGGCTGGCGAGTTATGACTGACTGCCCTTATGGTGGGGATCACTACCCCCTTCTCTTTACGCTGCGAGGTGGGTCTACGACTAGCGACGAGCGAGGCCCTCCGCACGATCTATGCGACCTCGTTCACTCTAAGACCGACTGGGCCTCATTCACCACTTATCTAGACCATCAGAAGGCCTACTATTACGCAAGGGAAGCACTTTCCCCCTCTGGTTGTCCTGATACCCTCGAATCTCGCATTGCTACTCTTCTCCAAGGAGCTGCTAGGACAAGCACGCCGATTCGTGACAACCGGCCCTGCAGATCCACTATTAACACTTGGTGGGATCACGAGCTTCGATCTTCACGATCTAAGCTCGCCAGGACCAAGAGGCAACACGGCTCCTCCTCGGACATCTATAAGAAGGAGCGTCGTGAATATCGGGATATGATTGCTAATAAGAAGATGGCTGGCTTCGCTGCCTTCGCCTCCTCCATTGAATCTCGTCCGGACTTCCTATCTAAGATCACCAGGGACCGACCTCCACCACCTACCACTATAACGGGATTCCCTACGGTCGAAGGCACTGTTACAGCCCTAGCGGATCGCTATCTTGGTGACCCTATTCCCCCGCATTTTCTGGACACTGTCCGGTCGCCCCCTAACTCTGGATGGGATAGCCAAGCTGGCGAGGGTTATGTTGACTTCCCCCTCGGCATTGTGAAAGAGGAGCTCTCAAAACGGGGTAAAGATACCTCTCCGGGATCTTGTGGTATCCGGTGGGAACACCTTCTCCATACGCCGGACTGGCTCCTCTCTGAGGTGTGCCGCCTCTTCCAATGGTGCTTTGATGTATCCGCCACACCACTTCATTGGAGACATTCCACGGTACGCTACATCCCTAAAGCCTCTGGGTATGGCACTGCAAAGGGCATCCGCCCCATCACACTGTCTTGCACCTTGTGCAAATTACAGGAAGCGGTCATTGCTCGTCGCCTCTCTCCCTATACAGAAGCGATTATCCGATGTGATGAACACTTTGCCTATCTCCCTCGTCGATCCGCTACTCTTATGGTTGACAAGATGATCCACTATGCACAACAGGGGCTCAGCGGCAAACTTGTGAAAAAGAAGCCTCCTTGGGCCATAGTTGGTCTCGACCTGAGTAATGCTTTCGGCACGGTGCCACATTGCAAGCTTCTGCAAGGTCTACAGAGCATTGGCATCCCCACCAAGGAAATCGAATGGATAAGATCCTGGCTAGGACCCAGGCTTAACTCCAACCGCTACCTGGGCATCGACACCACTCGCATGGCCAAAGAAGGGATAGGACTAGCCCAAGGGAGTGTTTTATCTCCGCTCTTATTCGTCTATTTTATGCATTATGTGATCAGTGCCATTAAAGACGATCTTCCTGACGGACCCTTTCCCTATCGATGGTTTGTATATGCTGACGACTGCCACCTTGTTTTCAAGTTCAAACCCCGAAGCTCTCAAGAGGACAGGGATAGTCACATTCACAATTTTCTGGATCGACTGTCCACTCTGCTAGGGTTGTACAATCTCTCTCTGTCCACTGAGAAGACTGAAATTCTCACCAGCTATGTCTCACAGGCCTATCCAGCGAAGCACATTGGTATTTTGGGTATTACTATCACCAGAAGGCTGAGCTTCCACCTACACCTGAAGGCCAGACTATCCAAGTGTCATGGTATCACTCTGAAGGCGTGGCGTTATGCTCGGAGCTCCTTTGGAGTCTCTCCTGATTCCATCCTTCTACTTGCCAAATCCGTCTGGCTACCTACACTCTGCTATGGTCTAGAAGTCTGGGGTACTACCCTTGCTATCAACAAGAGCACTCTGCTGATCGACTCCGCTTACAGGAAAATTTTGAAGTTAGCCTATCGGCTTCCCCCCTCGGCGCCCAATTCCTTTGTGGATCTTCTTTGCGACTCACCATCGCTATCCTACACCCTTATTGACAAGCTGTTGGTCAAATCTATGCACTGCATGGAGCACCCTCCTGCTCCAAGCTCGCTACCAAATCATTTCAGTTGGTGCCCATCACTGTCGGATAAGTGGCTCCGCATCCTTCACGATCGGCTTCCGGACTATGGTATCACTGATTGGTACGCCCCTGGCCCCCCTATCCCCATCGACGTTGCCAATCGTATCATCATCGAGGATACTAGACAGGCGGCCATTACCAGGTGGCGCAGCCTATCTGGGATAGGTATCGATGCCTACACGGATGGCTCACTGGTCAAGGACGGCCTGAAGGCCACGGTTGGTGCGGGGTTTGTGGTGGTACGGGGTACAAATGTCACAGAGGACTTTGTGAGACTTCCCGCGCACGCTACCATCTTTCAGGCCGAACAGGAGGCTCTGCTGCTCGCCGCCAACTTCCTTCACCTACATTGTGCACGTGACGAACCCTGCTGTATCTTTGTCGACTCCAAGTCGGTCCTTGTCTCCTTGAGGAATGGCACCCTGAATCATCGTTTA